AGCCTGCAATGGACACGTGGACATTTCTGAATGCACGATGCAGACGTGCCTTTAGGCAGCTGGCTTATTTTGTCACAATGATCTGGGAAGACTATTTTATTTCTTATCCTTAAATTAAATTCATGGGAGTATTTATCTAAACACCATTACTGCTCTGACCTTAACAACAGATTTTTAAGATATCTGAAATGTCTAGAAATGCTGAGATGCCCTCAAAAAGGGGAGAAAAGCACATGGGTGCCAAACTGCCACAAACTGCACTACAGCTCTGCTCATCAAAGCCACCTGGGTGCCTACAGGAAGAAAACTCAGATACCCAAAAACAAGTGGGCACCAAGTAGAAATATTTATTTTGCTCCTGAGTCAGCAAGAAAATAGGTGCTTAAAAGACTCAAAAGACTGGACAAGGGAAATACACGGTGTTGAAGGGAAATGCTCCAAATAGCTTAAAGCAAGGGTGTAAATACCTCTTCCTCAAAAAATGCCCACCTGCACAGAAGCAAATACTTCACCCACCTGGTCCAACTCAGGCAATACATAAGGCGGGAATCTACTGACTGAGGAGAACAGCTACATGAGCAAGTGCTCACCTGGGTGAGTCACAGCCCTTAAATTATTATTCCTCAGCAGTGGGGATGATTTTGGTGCAGAAATACATGCTTTGAGGAAAGTTCAGAGGTGTGATGTAAATCTCAGTATTATTTATGTCAGCTATAAATGAGCTAAATTATGACCTAGCTGAGAAAAACACTTTTGTAAACCAAGGCATTGAATATTGTGTAGTTTGCATGTTTAACAGGACCAGGCTTTCATCACGGAGTGGAGGAGAGCTAATAACCCATTGATTTTAGGGCCCATTTAGGAAAAGAATTGCCTATACAGATTTGATCACCACGCATTACTTTGTAACATCTAATACCCTGGGCACAAAATAATGCTGAGAGAGGCAAATTGTGGAGCCATTTTTATCTAGAGGGTTTGTGCATGAGGGCAAGGCACGGCACAGGGGCTGTTTTGGGCTGGGGCTCACGGCAAAGGCAGGAGGAGCTCTGAGGAGATGGTTGATGTTTCTCCAATTTGCCGAGCTCTGCCTTCTGCATCCACCCACAGAGCTGCTCAGCCCTACCTGGGAGATCATTCACACAAACAATTAAGCAAAGCTTGGAAAACAACCTGTCCAAAATTAAATCCCACTGACAGTTCAATAATCCTTAATTCTCATTGCATTTTTCCATCCTTATTCAATAAAGTTTTTCTGGGCTTAAAACTTCCAAACAGAGGAATTTGGGTACATAGCATGGGCTTTTCAAAACGTAAATTCACAGAGGTATTTCACTTGCAGCTTTAAGACTGCTTGGGAAAGATCATCCAAATGCTAAGAATTATCAATTTCATAGCAGCATCAAGCGTCAACAGATTAAAACTCATCTTGATGGGATGTGTGGCACCTTCGGCACTCTCAGACCGTATCTCCATCACGACTTTCACTGCCTACACGTAAATGAGTCCCCCTGAAACAGCCATGCTGCAGTACAGCTGCAGGAGCTTCTGCTGCCCTCACCCTGCCTGCACACCACCGACCTCTTCCTCGGCTGACTGGAGAGCTTTAAGGAGTCTCCCACGGACATAAAGGAACATTTAGTGATGAGTGGGGAGGTGAAAGATAAATCTTGCTCCCCCCATGCTCCCCCACAGCTAGCCAGGGCCTGTGCTGCCAGAAGGGTGTTTCAAAAATCGGGAAGTCAAACGGCTGCCCATACACAACAGCTCGACTTGAGTTGTCCACGCCACAGCCCAAGTGCAAAATGTGGACAGGACAATCAACAGGATCAGGACAACAGCCAGCCCACCCCCAAAATGTGTCCTCTCCTCCACCGGGCACCCACATCCTCCACAATTACAATTCCTGGGATGAAAAAGCTCAAGCTGGCAGGGTCTAAAATCTGTGCAGGTCCTTTCAGGCGTCTCTCTCTCTGTTGACAGACCTTCAGAGGGACACGGGTCTGTGACATCTAATGACAGACCTTCAGAGAGACAGACCGTCAGACAATCCTGTCACACCTGAACCAGACCAGCAGGGAACACTCCTCTCATCCACAGGGAGAAATACCCTGTGTTTGTTCCAACTGGTGTTTTCCTGAGGCTCCTATAAACACTGGATTAACTGGGCAGAGTAATAGGAGGTAACCCCCACTTGTGTCCCCTTCAGCACGACCGCACACGTCGAACCCCTGTACCGCCCACGCACTCTTGTCGTAGGAGACACGGATGAAGCCTGTGTCCCTCATCCTCAGCACAGCTCAAAATGCACCTCGAGACAGCTCCTCGGGAACAAAGACACCAGCAAGCCCAAGGCAGCTCCTGGGACATAAATCCCGCTATTTGATGGCTGCTCAGATGGTTGAAATGGAAGTTTGGTTGTGATTTATGAAATCCTTTGACAAATTGGGGTGCCCTGAGGCTCAATCCAGCTGCCTGTGGCACAGCCCAAGGGCAGTAGTGGCGAGGGGACCTCCTGGGCTGTCCCTGCCGCGCTCGGACCCACTTGGCGCTGCCGTTCGTTACAGGGCTGCAAGCACCCCGTGGCTTTGCGCAGGATCCTCGCCCGTCACAAAGCCGGCTCCTGAAGAGCACAGCAGCGTTTTGTTCTCTGCAAATACACTGCTCCTGGGCTTACAGCAGTTTGGGGAAAACTGCAGGGAAATCGGGAACGTAGAGACTTGTAGTTATGGGATGTTCGAGCGTTTAAAGAGCAAAGATGTACTGAACAAAACGCAGTTTACAGATGTTCGACGGTGCAGATAGAACGCAACACCAATACACACGTGAATATGTGTGCCCGTGTATTCCATCCCCATTCAGAGCTGGATTCTTCCCCGCTTTCGCAGACACTGGGGTTTCTCCGGGCTGTTCTGGGTACGGTACCCGGGGGCTCTCTCCCTCTGTGCCCCGCACTGGGTGCTGATGCGGAGGGGAAGGCTGAGGGCCGGCAGCCCCGGCACCGCCGCGCGGCGAAGGGCAGTGGGATAACGAATGCATCACACAGGGCCGGGCTGGGGCTGGGGCGCAGCAGTGGCGGGGAGCTACTGTGGACAGAGGACCGGAGTGCGACGGTCCCTCGCACTCCCGTCGCCCGGTATAGATTTCCCCGTTGTTTTTCTTTCTTCCCCGCCAGAGACCTCCCCTCGATCGGTGTTTCAGCTTAGGCTGCACATTCTGGCTGGTGAATGGCACCGGTCGGGCCCAGCACCATCATCCTGGTGTGACTGGATTTGGCCCTGCCGTGGGGCCTCCACAGCCTGCCCCCGACAAACCAAATCGACCGGAGCCCGTGCCCTGGTGCCGCTGAGGAAAGAACCAGATAGGGAAATTATTTTCTCCATCCCTCGTCCTGCATGGCTGCCTGGCCCTTAACTGCCGTGCGCCGCATCCGAGGCCGGACCGGCAAGCCCGGGAACGGCGTTACACTCCTGCAGCCTCCCGGTGACCGGGGCCGGGATGCGGCCGAGGCAGCGGCAGAGGCCCCCTCCCGGGAGCGCGGCCACGGGATCGCCGGCTCCTGCCCATGGCCGGGGAAAACCCGCCTGGTCGTGGCTGCTTTCTAAAAATGTCCGTTTTGCAGCATCCCCCGTTGTTGGAGGCCGGGGCACCCGGACCCGAGAACTACGGGAGGTTGTTCTTAAAAATTCCCCTCCACAACGGTGCTGGGGGCGAGCACCGGAGCCTCGGCCGCAGCCACCGCCGTCCCGCTGCCGGCGCGTTGCGCGCAGAAAAGGCAGCAAAACGAAAACCACCGGGCTCCGCCGGCGGGCGCCTCGGGACCGCGTAGCTGATGGGGAGAAATTACCGGGGAGCGGCGGGGCCTGCATCGGCGCCTGTTCCGGGGGGCGACGGCCCCGCACACCCCCGCCCGGCCACCCCTCGGTTCCACGCGGCGCTGCCGACCGTGTCCCAAAGCCGGGATCGCTGCCGGCCGCTTCCCCCCGCACCGGCGGAGAGAGCGGCAGCAGCGCGCACAACCGCGCCGACCCCGCTGCCGCAGCCCCGCTCCGACTCCGCCCGCCGTCCCGGCTCCACTCCCCGGTCCTCTGCCGCCCCCATTTCGGCTTCTCTCCTCCGTGTCAGCCGAGGCTCTGCGGCGGCCGCGGGCCACCGCCCGGTCCGCAGCGCCCGGCCCGGCGGGCTCGGCTCGGCTCTCCCCGGCGCGGCGGCAGGCAGAGAGGGGAGAGACATTTGTAAAGAAAACGTTTATTTACACGTCTCGGCAAGTACAAAGTATTATACATGGTCTGTGTCAACCCCAAATCTTCTTTATTATGAAACATAAGGCGCTTTCTCGAGAGCCGGTGGCGCAGGGAGCGAGCGCTGTTTCGGGGCGCTAAAGCTCATCGGCTGGGAAGGTGAGGACAGAACGGCGTGTGGTGCCTGGAAGGAGCCCTTATTACTACGGTGAATAGATTACAGCTGACATTAACTTCACCTGGGACAGATGGGAGCTACCGCTTTTCAGTTTAATAGCGTTTCCGAAGCTAATGAGTCATCACCGGCTCCACCGAGTCCCCTCCGCTAAGTGATAGGGAGGTATTTTTTCTTTACACTATCCTCAGAACAGGAAAAAAAATAGCCTTTTGTTCCAAAGCCAACACAAAATACCTATGTTCAGATTTCGATATAAATAATCGAGGTTTTATATAATTCCATATTAATAGTGCCCAAAATCTCGATGCATAAATAAATTAAAGTATTAACACTTCTTACAAAAAGTGACATATTTCCCTTCCTAGTGGAACATCGACACAAATATACAAGCGGCTCCACTCCGCGCCGACCTCGGGGAAGCGGCTCCGGGCCCGGCTCCGGTCGGACCCGATCCCGGTGTCAGCCCTGCTGGCGCCACTCGCCGCCCCGCCACCCGCCCCGTCGGGGGAGCCGCGGCCCCGGGGCAGGGGGAGCCGCCCGTGCTCCGCGGGCCAGTCCTCTGCGTGCCCCGTCTGCCGGGCTCAGACGAGGGAGGTGACCGGGGGGATCTTGGCGCTCTCCTCCTCCCAGGGCTGCAGGTTCTGCAGCGCGAACAGCGACGAGTTGTGCAGGCACAGCGGGTCGGGCTGGATCGACTCGTTCAGCGACTTCTGGAAGGCGTCGTGCTGCAGCTGCAGCATCAGCCGGCTCGCCTGCTGCCGCTCGGCCTCCCGCTCCTCCGCCGTCTGCCGCCTGCCGGGGGACACGCTCAGCCCGCGCCCGGACACGGGGCACCCTCCGCCCGGGACTCCGCGAGGAGCGGCCGGCCCGGGGCCGGGGCCGGGGCCGGGGCCGGGCCGGCGGTCGCGGGAACCAGGCAGGGCGGTCGGCGCGTCCTTCCGGGGCCAGGCACCGCCGGGCGGGCGGCCACCGCTTGACCGCCAACGGAGGGACTGTGGGCGGCGGGAAGAGCCTGGAAACCCGCCGTTTCCCAGTAATCCCGTTTCCAAATATTCCCCCCTTTTCTCCCAACATTCCCTCGATTTTTGTTTTTCCAAATTGTTTCCCCCTTTCTTCAAAAAATTCCCCGTTATTTCGAAGAATCCCTCGTTTTTACTAAAAATCCCCCGTTTTCCGAATGGGGGACTATTGAAAAAGAACTATATAAAGATAATAATAATAATTATGATAGTATAATAATAAAAATTCGCCCCCAACGGTTTGCCTGACAGGAACTGGCAAGGGGGGCGATCCCCGCCGGACCGGGACTCGCAGGGCGGTGGGCGGGGGGCGCCGCCGGGGGCAGCGGCAGGACGGGGCGGCTCCGGGGGCACGGGACTCACCGCCACTTGGTGCGCCGGTTCTGGAACCAGGTCTTCACCTGGGCGTCCGTCATCTTGAGGGCCTTGGCCAGGGCAGCGCGCTCGGCCGAGGCCAGGTATTTCTGCCGGTGGAAGCGCTTCTCCAGCTCGCAGATCTGCACCCGGGAGAAGGATGTCCGCGGTTTCTTGCGCTTCGGCGGAGTCCGGTTCTGGTAGGGATGTCCGATCCGCCGTGTCACCGTGAAGGGCGTCAGTGCCGCCGCCGCTGCCCGGGGGGGAAGCACAGGGGTCAGCCCCGCGCCCGCACGGTGCCGGCCGCCCCACCCCGGGGCCGCCGCTCTGCCCGCCGGCCGCCCGCGCCCCACCGGCCCCCGGAGGGACAGAGGCTCCCCGGGGTCCCGCTTCCACCTCTCGTCGAAGAGCTGCGGAGATGACCGGGGCCCGGCCGCCCCCCGCTATCCACGCCGTGAGGAGAGCGATTTTTCGGCTCGCTGCGAGCGCAGGGGAGGGAAGCATCCAGCGGCCGCCTTTGCTTTTATTCTTACTCGCATTACTGTTATTATTTCGTTTTATATTTTTTATTGGCCCTTTCGTTCGTTGTCGGGAGCCGGCTCGCGCGCTCCGCCCCGGCGCCTTACCTGTGAACCTGTCCTTGACGAAGCGCCTGCTGCTCTCCATCCAGGGGAAGTTGAGGCTGCCCAGGCTGGGCACGGCAGGCATGGCCGGGATGGCGCTGGAGATGGGCGGCGGCACGGCCCCGGGGATGGGCCTGTGCGCCGGCACCCGGATCACGCCGGCCGGGGCCAGGCTGAGGTTTACACTGTACGATCCCGAGTCCTCGAAGGGCGCGGCGATGGCCGGGAAGGGGGCCGGCAGGGCCGGGTAGGGCGCACCGCCGCGGCCGCCGGGGCCGCCCAGGAAGGTCGCGCCGTCGGGGCCCCGGGGGGGCGGCGGGGGAGCGCTGTCCTGCTCGGGGCTGTTGAGGATCTGGTCGATGCCGAAGCTGATGGGCTCGTGCTGGTGCTGGCCCTGCGCCGGCCCCGGCGGGTCCATCCTCGGCGGGTCCATGCTCCGCCACCGCCGCCCTCGCGCCGCTGTGGAGGCGCCGCCGCTCGCGCTGCGCTCGCGGCCCGGCCGGACCCGCCGCCGACACCAAACTTTGCGGAGCGCGCGCGCGCCGCCCCCCCCGCGGCCCGCGGCCGCCCGAGCCCCTGCCCCGACGGCAGCGCGGAGCGGCGGGCCGAGGCCGTGCCCGGGGCCCGCCTGGGGGGCGGCCGGGGCCCTACCGGGCGAGATTCCGTTTGGGGTTAATTTACAGAGCCCGGCGCGGCTGTCGAGCGCGTTGGCAGCCGGTCCCTCACGGCCGAACGGGACTCAAGGCGCTAACAATTAAATAACGCTTGGTGCATTTACTTAGTTCCCTCTTATAAAGGGAAATGAAAACAGGGAATAGAATTTCCCTGTTAATAGAATGTAATGGCATTTGATCAGCACCTGGCAGGGCGAGCCCGGGATGCCGGAGCGGTGACAGGAAGGACTTGATTAGTTTTTAAACCTTAGTATTCAATTACCGCATCGCTCCCAATCGTTTCGCCAGCAGCGGCGGCGAGCGGGACGGACCTGCCGGGCACAGGCGCCGCGCTCGGAGCCCGCCGGCGGCACCTGCGGGCCCCGCTCCGCGCGGCTCTGCTCCCGCGGCGGCCCCACGGCAAAAGCGGGGCCCGGTGTGCCTTTTTTGAGACGCCCGTGCTCCGCAAGGGTCGCGGGTCCTAGTAGGCTCCGGCCCCGACGGGGTCCGACGGCCGCGGCGAGGCTGCAGCCCGGAGCTCCCCGGCGCGGGCGCTGACGGAGGCGCACCCCGGCCCCCGGCCGTCGAGAGCGTTTCCCCGGCTCACGGCACCGAGGGACACCGGCCCCGCCTGGCCCGGCGGCCATTAACGTGACCAGTAAACGCCCAGCCCCCCGGCGGGACCCCCCATGCCACCCCCGGCCCCGGGCGACCCTAATCGGATTGTCCCCGCTCGGTGCGCGGGCAGCGGAGCCGCCATCAGCCGCCGCTCCCCGGAGCGGAGCTAATGCGATTGAGGCGGCCCCGCAAGCTGGTGCGGGGCCCGCACAGCCCCGCCGGAGAGGCCGCGGGCGCAGCGCCCTCGGGGCCCCGCTCCGGGCGGCCCCGCGGGGCGGGCGGGAGGCGACGGGGCGGGGGCAAAAGGGAAAAGGAGAGGGGGAAAAAAGGAAATTAAAAAAAAAAATTAAAAAAAAAAAAAAAGGAACCGGGGGGGGGATAAATAAATAAAGTGCCACCCAGTCCTGGATCAGGGCAGGCTTTGTTAGAGAAAATTGCAGCTCGATCTGCATAATGGGAGCTCGGGCTGCCCAAGGCGATCTTTTTATTGCGTGTGTGTCTGCTGTTATCAATTTTGTGAACGATTTCACAGGGAGCCTGGCAGACTTGAGCTGGAATAATATGCAAAGATGAGCTTTGAATAATGAATGATGTGCTTTTAAACCAATTCCAAAGTGTCTGTGATAGTACAATATGAAAAGGGGTGGTAAGTAATAGTATATTTAAAAGGCACTAGTATGTTTTTATTACTATATTTAAAAAGATATCTATATTATTTTTGTGAAATGGATAATATATCACAGAGTCTTTGATAATCAGCTAAACAATACATTTTTCTTTGGGAAAACTCTCCTGGTTTTACACAGTTAAATATAGAGTATCAGCGTACAGCTCTGTAACGCTCAGCTACCTTATTAAATATTAACTCTATTTTAATATTAGCTTTTAAATTTAATATGTTGACGTTCTGTAGTTTTACTTTAATTATGTTTTATAATTAATAACCCCGGACGTATGGTATCCTTAAATGCGGCTCTCCCGCAGCCGCTCCGTCTCCCTCGCCCCTCTGCGGGCGGGGGGCGCGCAGAGCCCGCGCAGAGCCCGCGCAGCCCCGCATAAACCCTCACAACCGCGCAGAGCCCGCGCATCTCCGCACGGAGCCTCGCACAGTCCCGCATAACTCCGAAAATCCCCGCACAGCCCCGCACAGCCCCGCACAGCCCCGCGAGTCCTTCCGACCCAAAGTGTGCTTGCGCCCTGCCCGGTGCAGCGCTCCTCGGCTCCGTGCCGGGCTCCCCTCCCGGCCCCGCCGGCGCGGCCCGTGCTGCGACCCCGGCGGTGCCAGGGGCCGGCCTGCGGAGCGGGGCTGGTGCGGGACTGGCAGTGCCCGCCGCAACCCGGGCCACGCTGCACCCCACCGGGCAGCCGGGGCCAGCTCAGGGCTGGCTGCGCCGGCCACAGAGAGGCAGCGGGACCCCGGACAGGCGCGGGGCACCCGCAGCCGGGCAGCTTCCCGTCACAGGGAGGTAAGAGACTGCACGGCTCTGGCCAGGCCCCAGCCATGGCACAGCCTTGGCACGGCATGGCACGGCCTTTGCAGGCAGTGGCACAGAATAGCACAGCCCATGGCCTTTGCCTGCCATGGCACAGTGAGGCACAGCATGCCAGGAGCCCAGCCTGGGAGTGCCAGCCATGAGCAGGCAGCTGCGGGTGCCTCTAACCCTCTAAACCCTAACCGTGCCTCTTGCACAGGGGCAGCAAGGGCTGGACAGCGCCGGGGGACAGTGACAGACTGCACCGGGGGACAGTGCCGGACAGCACCGGGGGGACAGTGCCGGACAACACGGGGGGGACAGTGACAGACTGCACCGGGGGACAGTGCCGGACAGCACCGGGGGACAGTACCGGACAGCACAGGGGGGACAGTGCCGGACAGCACAGGGGGGACAGTGACAGACTGCACCAGGGGGACAGTGCCGGACAGCACCGGGGGGACAGTGCCGGACAGCACCAGGGGGACAGTGCTGGACAGCATCAGGGGGACAGTGACAGACAGCACCAGGGGAACAGTGCTAGACAGCACCAGCGGGAAGCCACCGGAGCCATGCAGGCACGAGAGGGCTGGGAAGGGAGAGTTCTGGAGGTGTGTAGGAAGGCTGCTGTGGCACTGCCATTCCCTGTGAAATTCTGCTTTCAGAATTTCAGCGATATTGTACAGGTATTAACCAAGATGTGGAGCCAAGTGCATGATGCTGGCAGAGAGGAACACGGTGCAGTCCTGTCATGCTGGGGCACAGCTCCCTGTGCCTGTAAGGGACTGTGGCTGAGCCAGCTCTGCCAGGATGCCTGGGCACAGGGACTGACCAGGTCCCCAGAGCACTGCTCCCAGTCACCTGCAAAGGTATGGGGGGACAGAGTTAAGCAGGGAGAAAAGCAACTAAAGCTGTGGAAGAGGAGTGACCACCGCCCTGGCCCCACTGGACAGAAGAGTCCCCTATCCAGTCTGTCACTGAGAGTCACTGGGGACAGAGATGTGGCAGATGTCTCACTCATGCCTGAAACCCAGAGCTACTCCCAGGCCTGGCTGCCAGGAGGTGACAAGAAGGGGATGTGCTGCAGCCTGCCATGGTCACTAGGTTTGGTCACGATGTGCACAGGCATTTCTCAGCCCTAGGAATGTCCTCAGGATCAAAACAATGAGGGCCCTAGAGGGAGGGTGTCCTTGCAGCACCATGTCCTCGCAGGTGCTTATCCTGCAGGACCGCCACCATATGCCTGACAGTGGCCAATGCCAACGTTCAGCTTTTAAAAAGTGGTTCCTGTAGCATGAGATAATCAAACTATGTGATGAGCACTGCAAATAGCCCCCTGCACCAGGAAGCAGCAGCAGATGCTGAGATGTTCCTGCTGTAGTTCCAGAGTTCTTGCTGTATCTCCTGTCCTTGGCAGCGCTCTCAGGCTGGGCAAGGACAGTCCTGTTCTCCACAGCCTTTTCTGGATGGATATTGCTGCATAAACCCAACACGGTTTGGAGTGATTACACAACTCATGTGGAATTCAGCACAGCAGAGGACACACATTGCTTTTCAGCCGTAGCCCTGGAAGCTTCCTGTGCAGCTGGTGGGTGATGCTGGTGCTCATGCTGAAGAGGGACATGTGTGATCTGTGTCCTGGCATGAGCAGGGGAAGGGGAACAGGACAGCCAGGAGCAGCTTATGTGCTGCCTGAACTCTGCCTGTAGCCAGATGTACCCAGATATGGAGGGCAGTGGCAGGCAAGGCTGAGATTTGTGCACCAAAGGGGGATGTGGTCCTGGCCCTTGTACCTTCTGCAGGGCTCAGTGAGACCCTGTTGGTCCTCCTGGTCAGTGATGAGTTCCCCGGGGTGGGGCCCACTATGGCCAACAGGCCCTAGGACAGAGCAGAGGCCTGGTTGCCCCATGCCAGGGATGGAGTGGGACCCTGGGTGCCAGCCTGTGGCTGTGCTCTCGTGGGGCAGCACTGGGCTCAGGCACTCAGCTCCTGCTGCTCAGCAGAGCTGACAAAAAACCCCCTTTTTTTTTTTTTTTTTTTTTTTTTTTTTTTTTTTTTTTTTTTTTTTGTCAGCCCACAAGGGTTAAATCAGCTGCTCTTTTTCAGAGGGAAGAGCTCCTATGCTGCAGAGCCAAAGGTCATTCCCCTCTGCCCCCTCCTCTGGGTTTGGAGGGCTGTGCCCCTCCTGCCTCCCCTCACCCCACGAAAGCAGAGGGGAGGGCAGGGTCGTGGAGCTCTGCCCTCAACAGCTTTTTCCTCATCAGAACAAGGGATATTCCCTATGCCCCAAGATGGAGGAGATCAGGACACCTGCCCCATAAGCCCTGCCCAAGGGTCCAGACACAAGCTCCAGTAAAACTCTCTCTCCTCCATGTCCCAGTGGGTGCAAGCAGTTAAGCCCCACTCAGAGTGCCAATGCTAACAGGTTCTAAAGCCTCTGACAAATGAACATTCCTTAGTGGTTCCAATCCCTGTTCCAAAACACATCTTTGTGGGGTTGGTAACCTTAACTGTGATATTTAAAAAGCCAAAACTTTATTTCAGTTCAGAATCCATGCATTGTTCCACAAATGGCTGAGACTAGGTGAGAAGGAGAGGGTTCAAGGGAGGTGCCCCTGAAAGGGCAGAGAGTTCAGAGGGTGATGGGCAGATGGGGCTCCATTTCTTTCTGCCACCTCTAATGAAATCAG